CACAAGTTAATACACAGGAAATCATAACAGTGATGGAGTTTAGAAATCTCATCATAAATCAACGTAAATTTTTCCGGTTTTATCTCTCCGTTTTCTCCTATATTTGATTGAGAAGATATATCAAACAATCAAGACCTTGTTTTATCACGTTTCCAAATACCTCGAAGTTCCTCAAAAATACTCCGCTGTGCTTCGTATTTTCAACTCTCTTATCGGTGTTTTAAAATGTGGCAGAAACTATTTCTCGTAATTGATATGTTACATAGCCAATAAATGTAGTGATTCAATAGATTTACCAGTGACAAGAATTCACGACGACTTTCAAACCTCAAGATTAGAACTTCAAGTATGCTTTTAGAGTCAGTAAAGTATGAACCGCGTTTGCGTGCTTTTCGCAGTCACGGTGTTCATTTAACACAGAGGACACCGACAATGAATCATTTTCAGTTTGCCACTAAGTTTGTCACGTTTGGCTACGCTTACAGACGGTTGCCATGAAAGAATTACAAGTACTCCTATGGAGTGGAACTAAGGTAAAATTGAACTGGTTTCAACTGGTCAGAAGCAAGTAATTTAGTGTAATAGCCAAACCTAATTAACTTCTAAATCACATTTTTTATCATTCTTCAATAACTGCTATACCCACATCTTAACAGGTGGTCTTATGGGATTGTCCTATACGAAATATTCACCATTGGTACGTTATTCTTCATTATTTCTAGGCAGTGTAATGATTTTGATTTTACAGTCTTAGCACACGTCAGCTAATTTAAGTTATTTGATAAAATCAGTTATGTTTTTTTTAGCGAATAAGCAATCTGGGGCAAGTTGGGCCCATTATTTAGATCAAGACTAGCATAACAGGTTTTAAACTCCCTGAAGCTCAAACAGGAAAATATTACAGCTAATTATTCGAGACAAAAAGTCGTCCACTCTTTTGATCAAATAGTGAACTTCTAAACTCAATATTACAACAAGAAGCAAAATCATATCCATGTTTTAGACCAAAATACTCCTTGGTGTGTCGCGTATATATGCCCACATAACGTAGTGTGTATGTAATCAGGCCCCTAACAAGTCTCCGTACTAATCCACAACAGGAGGCATTCCGTATCCCGATTGGTCAGAAGCCAAGACAATAGTGGAAATTAAACAAGGTTACAAGATGCCAAAGCCCCAACACGTCGACAAATCTTTGTAGGTTTTGGTTCTTAGACCATTATATTATTTGTGATCGAAGGCAAAGAAGGCGACTTGAAACTATTAATAATCATAGCTGCAAACCTCCAGTGGGACTCCCGTATAAAAGGGACGGGGGGTGCTCGTTGTACCCTTCAGGGTTTCAAAGAGCGGTTTTAGTACCTCTTAGGGTGCTAAACCTCAAAAGGTCCACAGCGGAAGCTTTTCAGGTACCTTTAGGGTATTGAGCGGAAAGAATATGACAGGAGATGATGTGTTGTTTTAGAATTGGTACCTCTTAGGGGTGAAAAAAATTCAACCCATGCCCATAAAACAGGATCTTGGTAATTCTTAGGGGTTCTTTTGAAAAGTTCCGTCGAGCACCCCCC